TTAATTCCACTAGGCTCTAAACTTTGAACTCAGTACAATTTGCTCATTTCAAGCATGAAACTACTGTCTAAAGATTAACTGTTGCTTGCTTACCATCCCTTATTTAAAGAACCCCAGATCAGTATTTGAGTAGAATATCCTGATTCTATGATTTCATAAAACCAGCTTTTAGTTAAGATGAACATTTTGCCTGTAAAGTTTTGAGTATTTAAGTAACATCATGAGAAACTAACTTACAAAATTTCCAAACCTAAATTGAGGGCAAAAAAGCAATTTCTGTAAAACACTAATGACAGAGAAGCTATCTAAAAGTATCTTTTATTCTTTTATATAAATGACTTCATTAATGTGAATTGATCCTAACAATTTTTGTCCTAAGAAAATAAATTTCTGCTCTGATCTTTATAATTTCCTCCCTTGTATGAGCTTTGGGTTTCTCTTGCTCTTCTTTTTCTAGGAGCTTAAGATTCACCGTAAGGTTGTTTATTTGAGCTTGCTCTGTTTTCTTAGTGTGGGCATTCACTGCTATGAATTTCCTACATTGAACTGCTTTGGCTGTATCCCATAAATTCCTGTATTTTATACTGGCATTATTAAATTGTAAAAACTCTAACTTCTTTAATTTCTCCTGTGACCCATTGGTTGTTCAGGAGAGTGTTATTCAATTTCCATGTGTTGATAAAGTTCTGGTTTTTTATGCTATTGACCTCCAGTTTAATGATACTATCATCTGATAATATACATGGGATAACTTCAATTCCTTAGCATTTACTTAAACATGTTCTATGAGCTAGTATGTGGTCCATTTTGGGGAATGACCCATGTGCAGCCAAAAAACTGTGTATTCAGATTTTGTAGGAGTGGGACACTCTGTAGATGTCTAATTTGTTTATTTGTTCAAAAACTTGGATCAGTTCTAATTTGTCTATTTGTTCAAAAACTTGGTTCAGTTCAAAAACTTGGTTCAGTATTCTGTTGTTGATTTTTTGTTTAGATGATCTGTCTATTTGTGACAGTGGAATATTGAGGGCCCCTACTGCAACTAGTGCTTGTTTGGTTTTTCATGTCCCTTAACATTGGGGAATGGGGAAAGAATAAGAACCAAGATACATCATGTAAAGGTGCAAGATCCCAATGATGAATGTAACTTGATTATATACCTGAAATGTATCAATAAACTAAAAAAAATTCAACTTTATATTATCTTGCTTGAGACCATCTGGTATATTTGTCCACATTCTAAATAAAATTTGCCCTTAATAGTGAAACAAAAAATATTTGGAAGTCTTAAATTCTTCATTTCAAAACATAAACTCATCAATTTACTTGCAAATAATAAACAAAGCTTAAAATTATGGGTTATAAAACATTAACTGTCTTAGCTGATGGGGTGAACGTAAAGTTAAGTGGCAAAGTATAAATTAGTCCTTAAAGTGATGGCTCTGTGTTACTTAGTGACAATGGGTGATATTTAAGTCTGCTGGAGGCTCTGCATGGTGGTGAGATGGATCAGGTTACACTTGTTGAGAGAGGCCTACCAAGTGTTTATGACACCTCAGGTGTGACAAGCCCACAAGTAAGAGCAGACTCTTTTAACTTCTGCCTGGCTGGTAACAGTTTGAGAAAGTTTAAGACTAAATATATTAATATACCCCATGGTGCTTTATAAACTGATTGATTGCAAGACTGAAAAACTCAAAGAAAAAGAGAATGAGGTAAATAAACATTAATTTTATTTATTTATTTATTTATTTTTTCTCATTGAGTTTATTAGTTTTATTGGTACATTTTAGGTATACAGTACAGTTACATTTATCACTGGGATCTTGTGCCTTTACATGACTGGTCTTGGCTCTCATTTTTTCCCCATACACTTGCCCCTACTTCACCCCCTCCTCCCTTCCCTGTTTATAAAAGCTTTATTTCCATTTTTTCATTTTCTCATATTTTTTCTTTTGCCTTATTTCCTTTCCTCTACACTTTCCACTTCCCCTACACCTTTAACCCTTTTCTTCCTATTACACATTGTCAATTATACCATTAGGATCTTATTTACAATTATAGTTTTTCACACCAGAGAAACTATTTTGTATTTACACATGTGTAACTTATTTACTTCACTTAAGAGTGTAACCATTTTCCTATGAATGATTCCAACTTCTCATTCTTTATGGCTGAGTAGTATTCCATTTTATAGACAAACCACATCTTCTTTATCCAGTCTTCAACTGATGGGCAAATAGGCTGTTTCCAAGTTTTAGCATTACAAACCGTGCCACTATAAACATGGGTCAGGAAGCAAAATGCAAGAAAAACAACAGCAGCAACAACAAAAAAATAGGTTGACAACTCTGAGCAGAACTTCTGCTCTATGCTTTAGCTCTCATTCCCTCTCAAAGTTCAGCTGGTTCAGCATGTCAGGGGTAGTTCAGAGGTAAACACTGGGTAATATTATCATCGTACTTTTGTTTCTAGACTGTTCCAAAGTCTGATCTCCAAATGAGAGGCAATGATTCTGACTCTTTAAGATTATTACAAGGATTATATGAGATACAGATGTAAAGAAGCTAAAGAATATTTTAATAGAAAAGTTACAGTTTACTCAGGATGATTACTTAATATTTGTAGTGAATTAATCTGAATGTTTAAGTAGCACCTTTGAATTTAAAGTAATCTGAAATGAAATTTATGTGAAATAGGAAGGAAAGTGGCAAAGGGGAAGGGGAAATCAAAGGGGGTAGGGGAAAGAAAAGAAGGGAATAGAATTAACATGATAAAATGAAAAATTGGAAACAAAGTCTTTTAGATAGGGAGGGAGGAAGAGGTTGAAGAGAGGGCAGGGCAATGGGGAAAAAATAAGAACCAAGATGGATGATGTAAAGGTGAAAATTTCCAATGACGGATGCCATTATATTGTATACCTTAAATGTGCCAATAAAATTAATTAAAAAGCAATACCAAAAAAAAGTGCCAACTCTCCAAAGAAGCTTTCAAAAATGGGCCAAGCTTTTGATTCTTAGTTTCACTGGAAATGATTTCTAATTATTTTCCATGTGGTCAGAATGAGGGAGGGTAACCTTTTAGGAACTGGTCGATAGTTATATCACATAATTCACTAAGCTTTTCTGTTTATTCTCTTATTTAACTATCATTTTGGGGGTATTTTCTCTTAAAGACTATGCTCAACATTGGGATGTCCATAAACAAAAAATTAGCACGACTTCGGCCTCAGATAGATTATGCTTTCAGTGGAGTAGCCTGGAAACTCAATTTAGCTATGTTAAATAACAGGCTTAGAGGAAGGACCTACTTGACTGAACAAGAGAAAAATGTCTCCTAGAAGTTCAGAAATAGCCAAGCAGTCAGGCCCCCAGTGCTTTATACAGAATTTGCTGCGTGGAAGGACACATTGACTCTCAAGATGAGATTGTCTCCCTGTCACTTTTTTTTTTTCAGGAGGCATAACTGTTCAATCCCCAACAGTTGTGTAACTGAGTGATTCTCACTTGCTATGGAATCAATTCATGGTTTCTATTTTCCCCTAAAAAATGAGTGCTCAAAACACTAATCCTTCAATTTCACAGTTTCTCTCTTATTCTTTTAAATTTATACTTCTCTTTTTATCTAAAGAAATAAATATATCTCTCAGATCAGATTCCTGAAAGAAATTGATTACATGCTCAGCTAAACACCGTCATCACTGCTTGGTCAGAGGTTTCATAGCAAGTCATTCACACACCATTGAAAAAACAGTGCCTTTTCTTTAGTTGGCTGTGAGTCCAACAGAGATTTAATCAACTATGACAAGACAATCTGTTTTGCCAAGTGGTAGGGTCATTATCTTTAATATTCAAAATACAGGTTCCTTCTTCAGCAAGCTGCAATTCAGGAACCATTTAGAATCAAATTGTAGGCGTGGCAAATGTTTCACCTTTTGCACTCACACAGATACTTAAATAAATATAGTACCTGGGAGAATGTATTACTTCTCATAAAAGGTGTAGTCATAACAGTTACAAATGATTAAAGTATAAAACATTACTTTTAGCAGAAATATCATGGCAGGCCTCAGGAAGAACATGGAATTTAAGCAAAAACTCTGAAATATATCTAGAATCTGCACAAACAGAAGGAAAGCTGTTTGGGAAAATAAAATAATTTGAGAAAACTTGCATAAATAGAAAATATTTTGAGACATATAAACCACAATTTAGTATATTACGATTTTTTTCCCCATTACTAGGAATTAAACTCAGAACCTTGCTCTTGCCAGGCAGGAATGACATCACTGATCTACGTCCCCAGTCCTACCTAGTATACTGAGATATTGTAAGCATGTCACTGTCAATGTTAGAATCATTGATTTGTGTGCAGAATTATGAATTAGAACCATTGGGACCTACAACTGTATCTAAACTAAAAGTAAAAAAAGCACAAGTGAGTTTTAATATTTTTGCCTAAGATTATAAAGAAGTTCTTATTAGGACACAACTGGCAATTGAGAAAAGAAATGGTCAAACAAAGAAGAAGGTAAATTAGCATAGAGGAAATATGTTTTTTAGTAGCATTTTATAATACTCAGATATACAATTACTGTTTGATACTCTGTGTGGGTTAGGGTGGGAACAAGGAAATTAACAGAAGAAACATATTTCCAATAAAGTTCTGGGACTTCATGTCTGTGCTAGATTGAGTTCCTAGGGATTCTAGATTTTAAATACCATGTGTAAGTTGAAAAATGACAAATATATCTTTTGATTCAATATTCCTCTAAGTTACAGAACCAAATCACAACGATTACCCTGGCACGGCTTGCTACCTGGATGTTCAATACTTACCTCAAATTTGACATGCTCTATAGAGAACTCTGATTTTCCTCCTCAAAATTTTTTCCCAGCTATTTCTTATTTTATCATATTTCACAGATTTCCTCAGATTCAGTGATAAAAGTAGCCCCTTTTCCTGTTCTCATCAGAGAGGATCTGTCACATCTCCTTTCCCCCTAAATATGGCAAAATCCCCAACACTTCTTTCAACCTTTACCCTCATGACCCAATTTAATTCTGATCCTTCTCCAAATTACTAATTTGTTCTTTAAATTAATTAATTAGTCTCTTTCAATTTTATAACTTATCACAGTGCAGTGATTTGTATTTAATGTAAAAGTGAGTGATCACTTCCCTATTCGGAAGTCTCCAGTGGTTTCCCATTCAACTTGGAAAAATATTCAACTCTTTTCCAAAGCTTTTCACGATTAACTTCTTACTGTACCCATTTCACCTCTTGTCCTATTGTCACCATGCCCCTTAGCTTTCCTGAGTGTATTAGTTGAACAGAACAAGTGTCTCCTCCCCAGGACATTTGCACTTGCTATTGTCTCCTTCAGACCCAGGTATTCTCAAGATTGATTAAGAAATGCTCTCATATTATTCCCTCAGAAAAAGCATATGATCACACTAAGGTAGCTATTTTACACCTTAGTGATTCTATGCTCTGTGTGTTCATAGCTATGAATCTATCTGAAATTACAATCATCTTAAAGGAATTGGTATATGTGCATATCATATCTTAAGCCATTTTATTTCTCCTCCTTCTTCCTGTCCTATCTTCTTCCCACATCCCAACTCATCTTCCTATTTTAAAAGTCCAGATCCAACCATTTTCCTACAAATGATTCAAGTTTATATTTATATCCAAGCAGAGCTGTACTGTGCATATACCATATTTTTTATCCAGTCATCATTAGATGCTTCCAAAATTTGCCTATTATGAATTATGTTCCTCTAAACCTAGGTATACATATGTCACTGTGATATGGTGACAGAAGAAATATAATTGGGTAAAATTAAATTTCTTTTGTAAGGGTTCTTCATGGTGATTTCCCTAGTGATTATATTCTTGTTTACATTCCCCCCAACATGGTAGAAGATTCCTTTTTTCACTATGACCTCTATAGCATTTTTTTGCTTTTTGAGTTCTTGATGATAGTCATTCTTTGGGGAAGATACTTAATCTCTGTATTATTTTGATTTACATTTACCATTAGGCTAAAGATGCTGAACATTTTTCATGTACATATCGGTCATTTGCATTTCTCCTGAGAAGTTTCTATTCATTTTGATTGCCCATTTTTATTTGGACAATATTTCTTTGAGTTCTTTACGTAGTCAAAATATTCCTCCTCTTTCAGAGGAGTAGCTGATAAATATTTTTTCCTCACTCTGTAGGTTGTCTCTTCACTCTATTGACAATTTCTTTTGCTGTGCAAAAGATTTTTAGTTTTATATGATCTCATATATTGGGTCTTACTATTATCTTTCACACAATTAAGGTTCTGTTCATAAATTCTTTCCCTATATCAATGTCTTCAAGAGTTTCACCAATTATATAATTTAGTAGATTCAGTGTTTCTATTATTATTTCCATAGCCGTGAAAATGGTAATCATAACCTGTTTTTAGAGGGTATATTAAATAAAGGGCTAATTTTCTTCTGGAATATTCTGTCTCTTTCATTATTTCCTACCTTTTCAGAGCACCATTTGGAATGGAGACTTCACTTTTAGAGCTGCCAGCTGACAAAGTACAACGCATTGCTGCTGAACTCAGATGTCACCCAACTGATGAGAAGGTCGCCCTCCGCCTAGATGAGGAAGATGTGCTAAGACATTTCAGGGAGCATTTTTATATTCCCAGAATGAAGGATCTGCCTCCAAGTAAGAATACTGGAAAGTCTTTTAAATCAATTTATTAATTAACTTAGTTTTTCTACAGAATGTGCTTCGCCTGCTATCCAAATAATAAAGCCATTGTCATAGTGTCTGAGAAACAGCAGGTCCCTAGAGCTACTACATCAACCTGTCTACATAACTTGAACTCACATTCTTTATGTTCCCTGAATAAAATACTTACAGGATGCTTATTCCATCATCTGCTACTTTAGTGAACAATAGAGATACCGACTGAAAATTGCAAGCAGAGACATTTACATCTTCTACAAGCACTTAGCGCTCAAAGCAATTCTTTTCAATATAATATTAGAATATTTCTTATTTTGTGGCACCTACTTGATGATAGTGTGAGTTTTGTCTTTGTTATCTGGATGTAGTGGTAAGGACATGAACAGCCATCTTTGTATATTATACATAAGGAAGACAAATGTCAGAGTGACCCGAGAAATATATGCTACTTTTCTGATTATAATAGAGCAAGAAACTTTTTTGTTTTCAGGGAAGTCATCTTAATCTTAAACATAAGTAGTACAAGTATAAAAATATGAAACTATTTCAGAGGAGTAGCTGATAAATATTTTTTCCTCACTCTGTAGGTTGTCTCTTCACTCTATTGACAATTTCTTTTGCTGTGCAAAAGATTTTTAGTTTTATATGATCTCATATATTGGGTCTTACTATTATCTTTCACACAATTAAGGTTCTGTTCATAAATTCTTTCCCTATATCAATGTCTTCAAGAGTTTCACCAATTATATAATTTAGTAGATTCAGTGTTTCTATTATTATTTCCATAGCCGTGAAAATGGTAATCATAACCTGTTTTTAGAGGGTATATTAAATAAAGGGCTAATTTTCTTCTGGAATATTCTGTCTCTTTCATTATTTCCTACCTTTTCAGAGCACCATTTGGAATGGAGACTTCACTTTTAGAGCTGCCAGCTGACAAAGTACAACGCATTGCTGCTGAACTCAGATGTCACCCAACTGATGAGAAGGTCGCCCTCCGCCTAGATGAGGAAGATGTGCTAAGACATTTCAGGGAGCATTTTTATATTCCCAGAATGAAGGATCTGCCTCCAAGTAAGAATACTGGAAAGTCTTTTAAATCAATTTATTAATTAACTTAGTTTTTCTACAGAATGTGCTTCGCCTGCTATCCAAATAATAAAGCCATTGTCATAGTGTCTGAGAAACAGCAGGTCCCTAGAGCTACTACATCAACCTGTCTACATAACTTGAACTCACATTCTTTATGTTCCCTGAATAAAATACTTACAGGATGCTTATTCCATCATCTGCTACTTTAGTGAACAATAGAGATACCGACTGAAAATTGCAAGCAGAGACATTTACATCTTCTACAAGCACTTAGCGCTCAAAGCAATTCTTTTCAATATAATATTAGAATATTTCTTATTTTGTGGCACCTACTTGATGATAGTGTGAGTTTTGTCTTTGTTATCTGGATGTAGTGGTAAGGACATGAACAGCCATCTTTGTATATTATACATAAGGAAGACAAATGTCAGAGTGACCCGAGAAATATATGCTACTTTTCTGATTATAATAGAGCAAGAAACTTTTTTGTTTTCAGGGAAGTCATCTTAATCTTAAACATAAGTAGTACAAGTATAAAAATATGAAACTATTTGTCATATTTAGCTTTGCTTTACTGTGTTCTACATGAAGGAAAAAGCCTACAAGTTTAAATGGAATTATTACACTCAAATTGCCTTCATGTACCTAGTTACAGTCCAGTTTTCATTCTTCTTCAGATTAAAAATGTAAGTATTCAGAATCAAAGAACCTCAGCTAACATGATCTTAATATAAATAACTAATTTAGGGACCGGGGATTTAGCTCAGAGGTTCCGCTGCCTGACTTGCGAGTGCAAGGATCCAAGTTTGATCCCTGGTTCCAAAAAAAAAAAAAACCACTAATTTAGCTTGCATAATACGAAATACCCAGGGACACACTCTCTTGAAATGATGCACTTGCAGAATTTATTCCTTTTTCACTATTATACTCAACGCCTATATATAATTCTAGAAAAAGAAACAAGTGATCAAGGCCAGTATCCCACTTAATGCTACTTAATATCCATTGAAGAATCCCTACCATAAATGATAGCTATACAGAGGCAAATAAAATGAGACTATAAGATGAAGTGATACTACATTTCATAAAGAAAGACGTGTTTATGTAATTCAAGAGTTGAAAGAACATTTTGATTTTAATGTTCAGGGACAAAAAGTTACTGAGAGTTGAGTTCTGAGGAAGGGAATTCTTTAGACAGAGAAGAAAAGGTGCCTGCTGATGTGTATATCCCACTGTGAAAACTGTCAAGATTCACCGGGATGTACCTGAGCCCAGTCAGGTCCTGTGCTGGTGCCTCTGCCTCAGTGTGCTCTTCAGTCCACAGGACTTGGTACTGCATGACAACAGTCTGAAATCTGTATGGTGCATCACGGACCACTAGGGAGAAGGAAATCAAAACCAGAATGAAATATCACTTTGTACTTACATTTAAGATTAGTATAAAAATACAGAAAGTAGGGCCGGGAATTTAGCTCTGTGGCACTGTGCCTGCCGTGTAAGTGTAAGGTCCAAAGTTTGATACCCGGTACCAAAAATATAAATAAATAAAAATTAAAAATACAGAAACTAAGAAGTACCAGCTAGGACGTGGAGAAATTTGAACTCTGGTGCACTGTTGTTGGACGTGTGGAATGATGCAGCTACTATTAAACACACTTTGAAATTTCTTCACAAAAAATTCAAAATTAAATATTGGTAATCCAGAAGGTCCACTTCTGGGTTTGTTTTCTAGAGAATGAAAAGTGGACACCCCAAAGGGTCTGTGTGCTCCTAAGTTCATAGCAACATTACTCTCAGTATACAAAAGAAAGGAGCACTCCAAGGGTCCAATAACTGGTGAATACAGAAGAAAAATGGGGAATATACATACAATAAAATATAATTCAGCCTTTAAAAGAACACATGATGAAACATGCATTCCTCTTGAGAACATCGTGTAAAAGTAAAACAAGCTGGTCGCAAAAAAGACAGATACTGCATGACTGCATGTATGTGAGGTATTAGTCAAATTCACATAAACAGAAAGTGGACTGATGATCCCAAGAGGAGTTGGGAAAAGGAGAAATATTAAGTTATTACTTAATGAGTACATGGCTTCAGCTTTGCAAAATGTAGTAATTGTGGAGACTGTTTGTATAGTGCACTTACCTCAGAACGGTACAATTAAAATTAATTAGGGCTGTATTTTCTATGCCATGACTGTTTTAGCATATTATTGTTGTATTTATTAAAAAATGTTTCCCTTAAAAACAGCATTGTGTATATAGCTGCTTTCATTATATGTAAGAATTGACTCTACTATCCTGATTAAACATAGAACATTTGTTTTGAATAGCTGTCTAACATAAAGTAATTCTAAATAATTATACCTTGGATGAATCATTGCTAATTGTTAAAGAGAAGTAAATTGATATAAGATGAATGATTCAATAAAGACTTTAAGCAACTGTTTGAAAAATGCAATTTCAAGTGGTATAAAAATTTACTTCATTAAAACAAACTATGTGCCCCTGGCCATCACCATGCACATCAACAGGGAACTTAATAGAAACAAAAGTTATTGAATTCTGTCCCAGAATTACTAAATCAAAGACTGAAAGTAAAACCCTTTCACCTGTTCTAGACCAGTTAGGATAGAAATACAGAGATGTAACAGTTCATCTCCACTTAGTACCCACACGCACTCTAGTTACTTCTTTGTAACCATTCATCTATTTAACAAACTTGTATTAATTATTTCCTCTATTTGACACATTTTACTTGGCATAGCTCAGTGAACTCAAAAAGAAAGTTCTAACATAATAGAGTTAACAGCTAGTGTAAGAAGACACGAAGTAGCTAGAGTTTCAGATAACTTTTTGCTTCACTGTCAGGTCTTACTCTAAGTAAGAACAATTTTTGGCTACCTGGATGTTCAATACTTACCTGAAATTTCACACGCTCTAGAGAGAACTCCGTTTTCCTCCTCAAAAGTTTTCTTTCCCAGGTATTCCTTATTTTATCATATTTCACAGATTTCCTCAGATTCCAGTGATAAAAGTAACCCCTTTTCCTGTTCTCATCAGAGAGGATCTGTCACAGTCTTATCTCCTTTCCCCCTACATATCTCAAAATCTCCAACACTTCTTGGGAAGTGTTAGGAAGGTGTAAGGAGGAGGTTCTTACTTTGCCCAAGGTAAAAAGAGAAGAAAACACCGATAAGGTGGAATAAGGTGGCGTCTAAGTAGAGTGCAGGTGTGAGCCATGTGTGTTCATAAGTGAAGCTGAGTCAGTGCTTTCTCAAATTTGTACTGCAGAAAAAGAAACTGAGCTCAGGAGGAAATGATTTTTAGTTTCCCTGACAAGAAACAAATACATCACATACAAAACCTCAATGCTTCCTATCTTATTAAAACTTTCCAAGAAGATCTAACAATGATATGGCATCTCAAAATTTTTAAGAATCTAGCATAACGCTCAAAAGAAATGTTCCCTAGCAATTCAAAGCAATAAGAAACAACATAAAAAATATCGAAGTAATGAAAGGAATAAGGCTCTCAGTGTTGGATTTTCTGTGTTTTTCAGGAAGGACTCTAGGCCCAACCTATGGTTTTCTGATATCTTGTCATTATTTCCAAAAGAAATTTTACTAAAAGGAATGCATTTGCTTTTATTGTTAAAATGTTTCTAAGATATGAATAGTAAATATGTAGCTGTGGATAACTACAAATAGGACTGAAAAAGTGACTATAATTGAGGTGAAGTAAAGAGAAGAGACATAAAAAAATTTGATTCTCATAAAATAACCCTGCTTTGATGTTAAGGATTAACATCAAAGGGCATGATCTAAGCTTTCTGTTTTAGGTGAGTAATGAGGAAATTAGTTTGTCTTGGGGAACTGCTCA